GCGGGAAGCCTGCTTCTTCCTCTCCCACTCCCCCTGCTTGTGTTCCTGCTCTCGCTATGTCTCTCTCTGTCAAATAAATAAATAAAATCTTTAAAAAAAAAAAGAAAGAAAGAAATATATGCGGAAACATGAGGCCAGGGGAGAAAGTTAGGTTAGCCCAATTTAGCTGATTTCTCATTAACATAATTTTTCTTTTTATCTCTTTGTTCTTTTGGTCATTCTCTCTCTCCCTCTCTCTCTTCCCTGGAATTTATCTTCCAAAGCTCCTACTAATTTTTTGACATCAGCAATATTATTATCATTTTTTTATTTTCAAAAGATCTTTCTTGCTTTCTGAACAAGTATCTAGGACAGAATATACTGGAAATTCTGGTTAATCCACAACGTGAATTCAGGAAACCCAAGAGGAAGATAGATGATTGATATGAGAAAGCAGCTCACACAAGGGGAAACCCAAATGATTCACACATAGATGAGGAAGTGTCCAAGCCCACTCTTAACTAGAAATGTGGAATGAGAGAGTAGGAAGATGGCAGCAGATTGGCAGCAGTTGGGAAGTTGAATAATATCGAGTTGGGAAGGGTGGGCCAGAAGGGAGGGGACCCTCATGGGCTGGTGGTGGGGAGTCACCCAGCACAGCCATTCTGGAAAATGGGCGCCCTGACAAGACGCGGTGAAATCGAGCACCAGAATGCTTTGTTGATTTCATAATTTGACCCTGGGTGACCTTTGCAGGGAAGGTCTCCTCTAGATCCACCCAGGAACATGACAAACCCTTAATAGCCAAGAGAAGACAGAAAGATAATTTCTGGGTTATTAATATTCTCATAGAAGGAGCAGGGATGGAAGATGTTGTGAGGGGGTGTGCAAGGGAGGCAGCGGACCAGCCAAGCAAAGAAATAAAGGGAGCAAAGACTACTAAAAAAAAAATCTTGTGGATATGATCTCATCAGTGCAAGAATGTGCGTATGCTTGGAATGAAGTGTGAGAAGTTTCTGTGACCCAGCGATTTCATTCTTGGATGTGGTTCCCGGAGAACTTCTCGCGTAGGTCCTCATGGGAACATGATGAGAACACTGACCGCGGTGTTAATCGTGGTAGCTGGGGATTGGCGACATCTTAGGGTTCATGACTGGAGGACTGGGTAAATAAACCATGATTGATCCACACCAGTGAATACCACACACGGGCTCATAGCAACAAGCCAGATGTACAAATAGCAACATGGACAGATCTTAAACATTTGTTGTTGGGTGAAGAAGGTCAGGAACAAAAGACTTACGAAAATTCCATTTCGGTATATAACAGAGAGGGCACACAAAACCCACCACGTATTTTATAAAGATTCCTGTTGAGGCGTAGATACTCTTTGCATTACCTATGGATACATAACATACCAACCCCAAATTCAGTGGCTTAAAACAGAGGACTACTCATTCTTTCTTTCTTTCTTTTTTTTTTTTATTTATTCATTTGAGACACAGAGATACAGAGAGAGAGAGAGAGCATGAGCAGGGAGAGAGGCAGAGGGAGAGGGAGAAGTAGGCTCCCTGCTGAGCAGGGAGCCCGATGCGGGGCTCGATCCCAGGACGCTGGGATCATGACCTGAGCCGAAGGCAGACGCTTAACCATCTGAGCCACCCAGGC